GCACCTATAGAGCCTGGACTAATATTGCATGCTTCATCAGTTTCCCTTAACCATTAAAAATAAAAGGAAATGAAAAGATAGAAAGGATGGAGACAAAAGCTGGCTTCTCTGCTGTTAATAATTCACGCGAATTGGTATGTCGTCTTAGGATATAATTTCCCTTGGGACATTACCGGCCGAGATGTATTGGCCCAAAATACGAGAGTTTCAGGCTAATTCCTGTCTTCTAAAGTCGACTCGATATCGCAGGTTCATTTTTTGGGTCAATGAACTTGATCCAAATACCGTAAAGTATGACTTCCTTTGACTCGAAACACGAACAGGAAACTTCCACGCAAGGGAGCCTTCGCGGAGAGAAAAAACGCTTTCTGCGGGAATGCTCGCTTGGGCTCACGTGTCGAGCTGTGAGGAAGGACTGTTAGTGGCAATGAACGTACAGAAACACAAAAGTAGTTTAATCTATAACCGCATAGGATGCAATTTACAAATACATACACAATTACATAATTGCACACACACATACAAACATATTCATATATACAAATGTAGACGTGAACACAACTCGTGCAGGAAATGTCAGCATTATCAACATTGCGTCATTCTACTGATGCAGTGAAACTATTTGCTCTAGCAACAGTTTTTTCGTCTGAACTGATACGAACCGAACTAGTTTCCGAAGAGAACGTGCGTCAACCATATGACTGAGTGTTGAGAATTTCAAGATAACATAACATTTCCTCATCTATATAGCGGTCGTTCATATTATATGAGGATTACTACTATTATTCTAGCCCATTCCCGAGTCGATCAATAATCAGTATGCAAATTTATTAATAGTTTGCATAATCTTCCTCTACAGTTGATGTAGATAACATTGATCATACTGTGGCCACGACATCATGTAATTATAAAGTTAGTTTATTTAAAGCTATATGAACACATATCAAGTAATCGATATGATGTGTGTCATATGCAGGTCTATTTTAATGTCTATTGGAAGAAAGCAAATTAGCCTACGCGGATGAGGCGTGACTGTCACAGAATCATATGGCAAGACGTGAGGTGAAAAGGGCAAGAAAATGTTAACATAATGTCTAAAGATCTCTTGTTAATAATGTAAAACGAAGTCTTCAAAGGAGATGAGGTCTTGTGGCAAATACTGAAAAAAAATCATATATAATATTACAAAGGCTGCGCGCATTAGAATATCATGCAACATGATATTCCCTATGCACTTGCCAGCGCAAGTGCATAGGGAATGCTGAAACACCGTATAGTGAAAAATCTAGACAGGTAAGTGCAAATGGTATTTTTTTTTTTAATGTACATAAAACGTCCAAACTACGTAATTAACTACAATTACAAGAAAGTCGCAGTACAGAAGTACAAAAGACCACTAGTTTATTGAACATTTTTTGTGAGATTTTACCCTGAATGCCTGAGAGAGAGACAGAGACAGAGAGAGGGGGGGGGGGGAGAGAGAGAGAGGGGAGGGGGGGGGAGAGAGAGAGAGAGGGGAGGGAGGAAAGAGAGAGAGAGAAAGAGGGGGGGGGAGAGAGAGAGGGAGAGAGAGAGAGAGAGAGAGAGAGAGAGAGAGAGAGAGAGAGAGAGAGAGAGAGAGAGAGAGAGAGAGAGAGAGAGAGGGAGAGAGAGAGAGAAAGAGGGGGGGAGAGAGAGGGGAGAGGGAGAGAGAGAGAGAGAGAGAGAGGGGGGAGAGAGAGAGAGAGAGAGAGAGAGGGGGGGGGGAGAGAGAGGGGGGAGAGAGAGAGAGAGCAAAACTCCGTTACAAGAGGATAAAGGGCCAGTCTGATACGGGCGGAGAGCGAGACTCTGACGGAACACTCAGCCTCCCAGAAGACTTAAGACCTGGGATTTTATTTCGCTCGGCGTAAAAACAAGGTCGATACTTAACTAAAAAAAGAAAGAAAAAAATAGAACAAAGTAAGGCAGATAAAAGAGAAAATTGCACATAAACACAGATCAGAGCATAAACCTTTTGCTGGTGTAATTGCCTGATGAAATTGGAAGCAAAGCATTACCCCCCAAAAATGCATTAAATATATCTAAAATAATTATTTGACCTCATTTCTCTTCATATCTCGTTCGTTTCTTTCTTTCTTTTTTACAATGCACATCGCTGCAAAACCACGTTCGGAAAATCGATTTTCTGTAGCGTTAGTTTTTTCTTTCGTATTTTTCATCATCAGAATGACAAGATGTCAGATGAATTATTGTATACCATTTCCCCCTTAGGACAGAGAGAGAGAGAGAGGGAGAAAGAAAGACAGAGAGAGAGAGAGAGAGAGAGAGAGAGAGAGAGAGAGAGAGGGAGGGGGAGGGAGAAAGAAAGAGAGAGAGAGAGAGACAGAGACAGAGGGAGGGAGGAAGAAAGAAAAAGAGAAAGAAAGAGAGAGAGAGAGAGGCAGAGACAGAGACGGACAGACAGACAGAAACTGCCAATGTCTTCACATTGGGCTGCATCACTTTCATCACTGTCAGT